TATACAAATAGGAACCAAAACTTAAAGGTACCAATATTATTTTACTTTTTACTTTTTTGACTGTGTACCTATATTATAAAAGTTGTTTTTGTTTCTTTTTTCTAATGTAATGCCTATGTGTATCTCCTCCGCCATATTGAAATTAATTAATGTTTGATTGCTGGAAATAATTATTTCACTTACTCATTGTGGTTTTAACTACAAAAAGAGTACAACATACAGTCCTTTATTATTAGTGAAAATTTATATTCTTAAAATGTTATGGAATTATTTCACTTAAGCCAATAGTGCATATATTTTTAATATTGGTACCTAACAAACTTACAATTCACAATGAAAGTAAGATAATTATTAAATCCATGATTAGTTTACATATTTTGGTATCATCGTGGTTTAGAAAACTTAGGTATATTTTAGACTTACAAAACAAATGCAAATGAAACAAGTTACTTGATTTGAATGTCTGTAACAATTATTTTATTTTCTCTATTATTAAAACAAAACATGCTGTATACATTATATAACTTAATGATTATCTCTATTTTGTTGACTGAAGTAAATAAGAGATCTATATGCGTGTCCCATAATACTTCCCAACGTCTGCATTACAGATGCAATTAAAGTCAAAGGTAAAAATTGACCACTAGGACTTTCTGAGCGGGATTTGGACTTAGTTACTTCTGTTGGTTTCATCTCATCAAATTCTTCTAGCTTATCATATTTATCTTCAGTTCGTCTTTTAACATCTGTGTCAAATACAATTCTGAATGATTCGTCGTTATTACTGGTTGTTTCTTTTAAATTTTCATTGAAACTAGAAGTGGTAGTTGTGTTGTTACCACCAGTAAAAATTGTAGTATCGGGCTTGTTATCATTATCATCATTATCATCGGTGTTTTCATAATTCATATCTCCATCATTTTCTCCTTTCGACCCCTGGAGGAATCCATTGGAGAGACTTGTTATCAACTGAATTTTTTGAAGTATTTTATTAATTTTTTTATTTAATAACGAAGGAACTACTTCGTTATCGGGTTCCTCCGGTTCACTGTCTATGCTTGTATTGTTAAGACTATCTCCCTCTTGGTTTTCAAATTTATTAATTTTACTGCCTCTAAGATCAAGGATGTTACTGGTTTGGGGGGGAGTTGAAGCTCTAGTTAAAAGGGTTGTTAAACCTTGATTCGAGAAAATGGGAATTGGATGACATACTTGTACACCCTACAATTGAAACAAACAACAATAAATAAAATACAAAACCAATATGTATATACATACAATAAATCAAATAAAAAATGAATTATATACAGGGTGTCCCTCCTTCCCAAAACGTGTAATTAGCTAAATATTAGTAGTATTACTTATTAAGTTTTTATTCCCAATCAAAAAGCCTACATGTTGCAAAAACATTTTTAAATAAAAGAAATATTGGAATACAAAACCGATGATATGTGTATATAGGAATTATACTGTTAATTACTTATTTGAAAGGAACTTCACTTTCTTAAAACGCATATTCTGTTTCTTAATTAGGTATTTTACTAATCATATTATGTCTATTTAAACACTTACGCATGTTACTATTAATAACAAAAACTTAACAGACTGCAAAAACATTTTTTACTTTACACTTGACTAACCCTTGAAACTTTTAAGACATTTTATCACTTGCAACTAAAACAGTAGTCAAAATTTTCTGAAGTTTTCGGACTATCGTTATAAACCATCCCCTCTTTTATTTTTTATTCACTACCATTGCATTGTAAAACAGTATATCTGAGGTCAAAAACAATTAGTAAAACAGAAACACCTTCGGTGGTCGATATAGCAAGTGTTCACGTAAGTGACTATGTCCAGTAGGCTGTGGCACATCGTCTACTTATTTCGAATACTGATGATGTTCAAACGCATTCTATGAAGCAATAAAAAGTAAAATAAGGTGATCATTTATTATTATCGAATTAATATGTGGACGGCGAATCTTTTTTAATAGTTCAAGGCGCAAACACAGTTATTGCTACTGAAAGTGAAACCAAAAGCTTACTTTTTAAACCAATTTCTCTTAACTAACTATACATTAATTAATAATACTATATTAAGAAAGCTTTCTAGCCTAAGAACAATCATAAAATAAGCTGATATAGTAAAATAATGAAGTCAGTCAATCTCCTCTTAATAGCATTCACCCGGTATAAGTTAGATATTTTGTTAAAGTCGATATAAAACAGATATTGACTTGGTATAGGTATTTCTAATATAAGTCAACGGGATATACCTAATTAATGAAAATATGTTCGAAAGTAGCATTTCAGCTTCTTCCAGAGGCCGGAAGTGTGCCATTAAGTCGCCATTTTAAATGAAATGATCCAGTTTTCATTGTTTTCTTAATTACTTTGTTAAATTTAAGGGTTGTAGGTACTTTTATAAGAATGATGTACCCCTACTAAAGCTAGTTAATTTTTTTATAATCCTCTAGGCTTCTACCTTTTATTTCACTATAAACATCTAATGAACGGTTTATATTTAACACCCTGTATATTTTTTGTTACATACGGAACGTAACGCAATGGTTCCATTTGTATTTATAAGAGTTAAGTGTGAATGAAACTTTCTTTTAACTTGTATTAAAACTGATTTAGATACTCTAACAATATGTTAACATTCATTAATTTATATAAAACTACTGTTATTAGTTCTTTTTATCCCAAGATGCAGTTCTAACACATTAAACTCAACGCAATATAAATTTCTTAGATTTTTAAGTTTAACGAAGGTTTATTCATGAAATTAATGATCTAATTTTTATTTATATACAACAGCTCCTTCATCTGTTAATTATTTGCAGTGGACAGCTGTAAAATTTTTAAAAACCTTTTTCTTTATGATTCCATTATACCTATAAACTATTTCAAAATACCCGCTTTCTAAATTCTCAATACGATCGCTAGATAGCGCCAACTACACCTTTCAGTCAAAAATACCATATATTTTAAAATATTCTTACAAAATCAAATCCACTAAGTAAATACTTCCTATATGTTAGAATATTGTTACTAACAAGTAAAAAAATTAAAGCATCTTGTTATTATTTATTATGCGTATGGTTCCAATATAAATAAATAAAAGTTTTAATTCGTAGCCTTCATGTTTGCTACTACGCATGTGCATGCTCTCGTGCAGTCTGTATTTGACACTCGTAAAAGTAGTATTGTGAAAACCGGGCGAAAACAGTGAATTTGTTTAATTTTTTTAAATTAATTATAAAATGATCAGTCGCATAACAAATTAAGCAGTTATTCACTTATAATTTAGAAAAGTTCGGTTACGGTGAATATCACAACGTATAATACATAAAATTCCACAAGCTCTCTAAGGTAGGATTTTCAAACTTATCTTAGGTAGTTTCAATAGTTTGTATTTTTGCAAATGTCCAGAAACGTAAAACGTTTATGAATTATATTACGGATTTAATATTAATGATGAAATTTCGCCAACTACAATAAGTCTTTGCCGTTAATAATATAATTTATGAGGAGTTTCAGTGTTTTCTACACCTATTAATTTACATTTATTAAACTGTGCTGTTTATGTCTAACAGATAATATTACAATGTATTTGTTATTTGCAAACTATACGCCGGCCATTTTATTTTATTAAGTTGTTCCCTGAAAATTTATTTAAAACAATCAACAATTAGACGTCTAAAATTAATATAAAAATACTAATGTTTATATGCGTTTTCGAAAACCGAATCAAACGTTTCATTTAAATGAAAATTGATGCAGTTTATGTACTTTTGAATTTTGTCATAGTTTTGTTCCGCCATTTCTAAATTATCAGTTATTCTCATTGTTGAAACAACCAACGCCCTCAGTTTCCGGTTCTTGCTGCTTTGAGTAGCAGACATGTTAATTTTGTGACTAAAGATGTTACATTGTGTGAATAAATATCGCATAGTGTTTACTGAAACATTAATTATGGTAAGAATATTGTTCATCCCCATTTACTGCTTCTATCCTGCCATAAGCAAAACGTTTGTTTTATACTAATCCAACATACAATTTTTACATATTACTTTCCAATTTAAAATGAAATCTAACATAACACCCGTTTTCAAACACTATAAGTCAATAAAGTAATGAACTTTATGTTTTAAATAAAACTTTTATTGATAGAACTTCATTACTGCAATAATGTTACTTTTACAAACAATTTCTTACCACATAAAACGCAATACAATTGAAAGAACCTTTTAAATGTATACTTGATACAATTTATTACATGAAGTTAAGTTTAAAATGATTATTGCCAAAAATAAATGATAAAAAAATAAAATAAATATATTATACTACATGAAATACAAAACTGAAATAATGCATTCTAACTTAAAAGTAACGCAAATGAAACTAAATTTTTACTACATCTAGCATAATTATGAAGTGTAATAACAGCAACCATCTCTAAATATCGTTATTATATATTTTACCAAGAATAAGTATAAAAATAACATGCAAGTTAGGTCAGTAGCAATTTAGATAAACATCCCATAAAAATTCTGATAACAGTTTCTATAGAATATTTAGTAACTTTGGTCATTGAACAATTACAAGGCACTGAATTTTAACAATTTGCATAACATTTTCCTGTGATAAATTAGTACACAATTATTTATATAACATTGCAAACACTCTAATCCTAATAAAACAGAATATGAAATACACAAATAACCAACTAATTAATTGGAAGTCAAAAATTCTTAAGGTTCAGGATTACTGTTTGAGTTTTCTGCTTCATTTACTCCATATGCCTGTTTTATGGTTTCCAAGTGGCGCTTTTCATGATTCTTCATATGATCTGCTCTTGAAAAGGTCTTTTTACATATGGTACAACTGAAATCTCTCTCCTTACTGTGTGTTTTTAAGTGTCTCTTCCAATTCATTGTGATTGTTATTTCTCTAAAGCAAATGGGGCATTTTTTTCTGTCAGAATTCTGGTACACTTCGTCATATTTGGCTAATTTATCAGGTCCTAGCAGTATTCTGCCAATCTGATGTTTCACAATCTTATGTTCAATAAATTCTTCTTCCGTTTTAAATAACTGGTTACAATACGGAAAGGGACAAACTTTAGGTTGCATAACGGAAGAAAACTCAAGAAGGGGGAAGTTTACTGCTTTTGAAGTTATTGAAACTTCTGCAATGTCTTGTTCCAATTCTTTCAAGTTTGGAACTACTTTTGAGGCGTTTTCCCTAGGACGCCTTTGACGTTTTCTCACAGGAGAGCCGTCTTTTCTAATGGATCGCTTTTTGTACTTTCTCTTCTTTGTTGATTGCTGCAAACCAAATATTTCGTCTTCGGTTTCGTCAAAATCATAAACAGATGCGTTAACGGGAGGATTATTCTGTTTTGCTTTTTCTCTTTCCATCATTTCCTTCTTGTGGCGTTCAAGTATTCCACTCGCTGTTATTTTAGGGGTCTCAGATTCAGACTCTTGTTGGAAGGGTTGCATTGGGATTTGTTGTTGTGACTTTGGTTTTTGATTAGCCAAGTTACCAAAACTACGAAGACTACCGCTACTTCGTAAATTCAACGAACTGCAGCTAGCAACTTGATCAGTTTGCATTAAAACCTTCTTACCATTATGAATTTTATCAAAATATTTCGTATCGCGTGAAGTACTTGGAAGAGAAATATTGTTAATATCCTGCTGTTGCAAAGATGATCCTACGTTGTTAGTATCCTTATTTTCTTTTAGTGAATTAAACAGCCTGTCAACCTCTTCTTTAGAAAGTCGATTTATTTGACTGGCTGTTTTTATTATTATTATAGGTCTTTTTGGAGGAGTGGGTTTGATTTTCTTCTCGACCTGCTGAATAGATTTTGTGGGTTTGGCTGTTGCTCCTTGATTATCTGGTGTACTTCTTTGCGAGGAATTATTAGATGGTTGGGCTTGTAAGTTTCCAGTAACTTTCTTAGACAAATTAGAAATCCTAGATTTTATTGGTCTTGCCTTCAAATATTTTGATTTTCTGGTTATCGATTTTTCTCTTACTTTACTTGAAATTATATCTTTAGTTTTAACAGTCAACAGCTTGCGTTTTCTTATTTGTTTTGGTCTGGCGTTTATTTTTAATTTCTGCTGTGTCCTTCTCAAGCGTCTTGATTTTAAAACTCCCAATCCAGAATTACATGTGGCACTGTTTCTCTTAACAGTTTTGAAAAATTTCTTTGGAGTCACATTCTTCCCTCTTTCCTCATTTATTATTGTTGATTCGCCAAAAGACACCCTCTTAACTATAGGAACAGATTTCTTTTCCTTTTTGATATCAGAGACCTTTTCTTGAAACTGTACTTGTTGAGCTTTTTTCTGTTTTGACTTGTTAAGTTCCTTTCTGAACTTTAAACGATTTGAGCTGCTTCTCACAAGTTTTAATTTTTGCAACTTTTGGCTCACCTTTGTTGATACACTTGGATTGTTCTTTTTATTATTTGTTTTTGCTCTGGTAGACAATGCAACTGGAGACGCATTTTCAGCATTATTTTCAACCCCTTTATTGGTAATTTTATCTTTTGTACGTACAATTTTTTCAATGCTATTATCAACCGAAGCCTGTAGTTGAACCTCTTTTGTACCATCTTTGTTAATGTTATAATTTGTTTTTGACCTTAAATTAATGGTTGGTTTATCATCTATAACTTTTGATGTTTTTTGTAAACCTGATGTAGATGGTGAACTATTTTCATAATCAATCTCTTTTTGTGATATGTTTTCGAAATTTTCAATTAACTTACTGGCAAATTCTTTTTCGATTTCTTTGTGAGATTTTTCTTTATTTTGATCTGTTAATACCACGTTATCATTATTATCTGAATTAGTTGAAGATGGTGTAATAGTATTTTTATAATCTAGAGAGTCAGTTTGTGTTTCTTCTATTGGAGAATTCAAACTTAAAGTGTCTAATGAACTTGTGACCTTCTGAATAGAGGGAGATTCAAGATTAGATTCCAATATTCTTCTGCGTAATTTGTCATTTTCTTCTGTATTTATATTCTCCTTTACAGATTCTTCAGATTTTACATCAGCAGTAGATGGGTCATTTCTTGGAAATCTTTCAACCACATGTTTATTACTCCGTTTTTTGTTTAATTTGTCATAATTTAGTTTAGTTTGATTTTTAATTCTTCTCAGTGCTCCACGAGTCAACCTTCTGACTTTAATTTTTGTTTTGTCTTGTATAACTTTCCTCGAATGTCTCAACTGAATTGATTGGAAAAAATAAGATGGTATATCAGAAGGTCTGCTAAATTGTCTTATCAAAGATGTTCTATGTCTAACTTTCTTGGATTTCTCAAGTACTTGTGGAATATGTATTTTAAAAGGTTTTTTTGAAAATTCTTTTTTAGTATGCTTAATTAATTGTTTATTAAGCTTTTCCTCACCAACACTGGTAGATTGCTTACGCATTTCAGTACTTCTACTCCCTGCATTTGATGAACCAGACGACTGAGATTCATCTACATTTGTATCTGACTTATTTTCAGTTCCTTGATCGCATTCATCAAGTTCATCTTCAGAATAGGTTTGTACAATAAAATGTTCTGAAGCCTTATTGTTACAAATCAGATTACAATTCATATCATCTTTGGTTTTGAATCTCAGCAGTGTCAATTTCTTTTTTGGTCTGCTCTGTGTATTATTGACTTTTTCATCACTGATGTTCTCAGTTACACTGCCAGAAAATTCTTCCTCATCTTCATCATATTCAAAGTCAGTAGTTTCATTTTCATCTTTCTCTTTTGTTTCCTCTAAATCAGGTTTTGTAACAGCTGCTGCATCACCTTTAGATTTAGCAATCCTTCTTTTATCATTCTTGAACAGGCAAATATCCATGTGGGTCACCTGACGCTTCTTAAAGGCAAATGCTCTACAACAAAAATGGCATGGAAAGAATTTTCTGCCATCACTAGAAAACACCACTTCTGGCACATTTCTGGTATTGATAGCAAGTGATAAATTCACTGATTTTTTAACATTTCCATCTTTATTCTTATCACTTTCAGAAGATGATGTTGGTTCGTTGTTGGAATCACCTTTTTTTGAGGCACCTTTCAGATGCCATTTTATTGCTGCTTTTGCAATTTCTTTATCGTGTTCTTTTTCACTATACTTAATATTGCTGGGTCTTTTGCGTAAAAGAGGCATTTTCCTAAAAAATATTGAAGATAAACATAACCATCATCTGAAAATAACACACTCAGCTTACCTTTACCAACTGTATTACACAATACAATTACTGATAAACCTGATTGATAATGAAAAATATAAATTTGTGTTAACGGAGCATTTTCATAAATTAAAAAAACTGAAAGACCAACGAAAATTAAACAACAGAAAACACCATCAAAACTTCAGAACCACAAAAACAAACTGGTTCACGAAAACGATAAGGACAGCAAATATTAATCAAATGTACATGGTGTATTTAAATTATAGCATGATTCTTTCTGTATATTAAAAGATTATCGTATTATTCATTGAAAATTGCTGTGTCAAACTATTTAATAAAATTGTGCATTACAATCGGGGATTCCCTAGGTATTTTGAAAAATATAAACATTGAATACTGGAAGGTGATATTGTATGTTTCTTATAAATACTCCTCGTATATAAGATAAGTAAAGCTACAGCTCGACACTGTACATAAGTGTGCTTATGTTTTTATTTGTGTTTAACGTGAGTACTTTTTATTAAAAAGGCGTAAATTCATGATACATCAATTTTTAAATTACAATCTCTTATTTAAAAACATTCACTTTAATAGTACCTCCTAATTTTATTCAAAAATAACCATAAATCAATTAATTAACTTAAAATAGTTAATGAGTATGGTCCTCCTTAATTACAGTGAGTACAGGTATGTCCGTTAACATCACACTCTCTCTTCGTTTTCTTTACAAAATAGACAAATAGTTTAACGTAATAAATTTTTTGCTTTAATTTTGAATAGAAAAGTAGAGCAGACTAACCAGTTTTTTGATTTGTTCCAGTGTAGAAAAAGATTAAAAATACAATTAAGTACAATCCATATAGTGCAGATGCATGTAAATTCATGTTGGAAAGGGACTGTTCATAAATTATATAACGCAAATTGGGGGGGAGGGGGTTCAACATGGTTGAGGTCCTATGTTGGAAGGGCGGGAGTCAAAAATTAATTAATTTTACATTAAGTACCCATCTACTGCTTTATTTATGGACAACCCCATAGGGCTCCGTAGGTACTAGTGTACAGGATGTCGATAAGTAGTTTCCAATCTTTGATTCATTAGAAAAGTAATTGCTTATCTGTATGCATATTGTATAGTATTTTTTTTTTACCACGGAATGGCTCACAAAATGTCATTCGAGTGGAAATAACGACATTTGTTTGTCAAAATGAAGCTTGTTTATAGTTAATCCTTTGCTTTTTCATAATTTTTTTTCCTTTCGCGTGCATGCTAACAAGATGAAACGTATTTATTAGGTGGTGTAGGTGTCACTATTTTTTTGAATTTTATGGGTTCTCGAGATCGTTTAACGTGTTATAGTTCGGGAGATTGGAAGAAACAGAATGATTCTGCAGTAGTTGCATCCGGTTGTTTACTATCAAATCATAATCGCCAAAGACAAAAGAAAAGGATTACAATCCGTTCGAATAAATCGCGAAAATGTCAACCGAGATACAGGCAGAGGAAAGATTGCTATTGCACAAGTCGCCCTGTACCTACACGAATAAATTTCAACGTTAACAAAGCTCAGCATTATCACACCTCTGATAATTGCCCATTTCCTGACCAAGACGAAGACGAATCCTTCATGTTTCAACCAATAGAAAAGATTTCTTTATACAACACCACCATGTTACAAAAAGCCAGGGAACTGTTAGATTACGAACCTTCAACGTTGTTCTTGCGGAAACTTAAAGCTGAAGCATGTAAAGCAGTTCTACGTGAAACAGAGGATACCCAAAGGGATTGTTCCAAATACACCAGAGCTAGACAGGCGTACGAACAGTACGTGGATTTGAGAAACAAAGACGAAAGTCTTGTGCAGCCCTGTATGTGTAAATATCCGCAGCAAAATGACGGCAGTGATACCGATTCGAAAAAGAATGATGCTAATATCCAAACCTTATGTGCAGAAGTGGAAAGGAAGTGTGCTGCAACCGAGACCAACAATCGGTGCTGTCCGAAATGTTGCAAATGTCAAAAAGACAAAAGCACTTCTGCGGATTTTTGTAGAATTGAAGAACCAAAACCTGCGGATATCTGTAGAATGGAAGAACCAAAACCTGCGGATATCTGTAGAATGGAAGAACCAAAACCTGCCGATTGCGATAGAATTGAAGAACCAAAACAGCAGGAAGATAAGCCAAAACCGAAGGAAGANCAACGACAATACACACACACGCACACAGGTAGTGTGGTACTGCATTGAGGGGGCGAAGGCCAGCAAAGACGATTCATGGTTCATTTAGAGACTTAAAGAGTCAGTTATACAACTCATATTAGTCTTAGTTTTGCATCTAACACAGTCATTATCTGGTGGAATTCAATGATTTAGTTGTTTCAATTATTTATCGGTCACTACCCATTTATTAGAATGGCAGTCGGATGAATTAGTATCTCATTTCATTTTAGACAATTAATTTATTTATTAAGACGTTGATATTATTAGATTATTAATTTAGAAGTTAGACATAATTAATAAGAAGTCACTACAAACCCACTCCAAATTTAAACTTTGACTTCAAAATTTCATAGTTCAAGTATTATTTTACTTTGAGTTTTATTCCTCGTTTAAGTTTGATAACGTCTGTTAAATTCCATTTAATGAACTCGGAGGATCTGTAACTGAAAGGTATTGAAATTTAGTTAATAGAATTTCATTTAACTTTAAAACTTTAAAAAGTTGAAAACTTGTAAAGAAAAATTGATTGAAAACGAATTAAATAGGGGAAAATTATTTAATATCTATTTAAATAAAAAGTACCGCCCATAACTGGCAAATATTTTGACTAGATAAGAATGCTTGTAGACACATGACAGTGTGAGCGCCATAATATACCATGTATTAACAATACCTTCGATAATAGAAATGATTTGGTTCTAAAAATCCATATTTCGCCAACACTTTTTCGCCATTGCTATAAATTGATGATACATTTGGTGTTTATTAAGTTCGTTGTTAGTGAATGTATTATCTGCTTCTTTATATGAGAAATCTTTTGTGTTTCAACAATTAAATGATGGATAAAATGTTAGATACTTAAAATCTACATTTGTATTAAAAAACAAAAGATTCAACTGAAGTTCTTAGATCTTTAATGAGCAGGTACCTTCAGTAGTGATTCACCATTAAAATTATACAAATACACAAAAGTAATATGCAATACTATATAGTAAAAGCTCTTTTTTCGCAGGGTACACGTTCCATAAATATGCCGCGAATACAGAAACCGGGGATATGGAATGATAATTAGTATGGAAGCATATTGATAAATTCGCAATTAATATTAATCATTATAATCAACTTTAGGCAAGAGTTCAAAAAATTTATTGATTTTTTCTTGTTTTGAATTTTGAAATTAGTCCACTTGGTTACATCGTTCATAAAATTCGCCTCGGCACGTGCCAACAGTATTTAAAAGATGCCGATAAGTTGCAAAATAACACCGGATCCTTTTCTATTTACTCGGTTATATCTTTTGTAAAAGCTACCTTGGCACGTACCAACAGTACATACTCAATAGATGCTGATACATTGAGGGAATTCAGTAGTACACGCGCCGTAGAGTAAAAACATGTTTATCGGTTCTAGATATCATGAGTTTAATATTTGGAACAGAGGTTTGAAATTTTGTAGTAATATAGATAAAGCTTTGTTCTAAAGCTTGTCGAAGGTCATTTTTTAATTTTTTAATTTCTATTGAAAATACGTGTCCTACAAGAAGCATCAACTGTAAGCACTTGTAAAAGCTTTTAATGGTCATACTATTGAAAATTAAAAACGTGCTGAGTTAGTGTGAACCTTTGTCTGTTACCCTACAAAAAATTAGATATTTATCTCGCAGCATTTAATCACAATGTTTAGAATAGAAACCCATGTTTTCGGAAAAATTCACACTAGACACGAGCGGTCTATTGCGGTCAATCCCCTTAATAAATGACACCGAATTCTTTTCTATTTACCGATTGCAACCGCGAATAATGAAATTTTTAGCCGCGAATGCAGGAACTGGGTTGCAATTTTTCCAGCCGCGAATAAAGAAACCGTCAATAAGGAACTTTTACTGTAAATTAAAAACATGATGGACCGTGCAAGAATCACTCCTTTTAAAAATATCTACTTCTTGAGGAGGCACTTCAAAAGAAACAGTTCTCATATCGACAATATAAACGTCATCAGTGCAGGGCAAAACAAAACATATTCCCGCATTTAAAGGGGTTTCAGACTTTAACTGACCTAAACGTAATATAATTGCTTTTTGATATGCGTGAACAACCTAAAAATACAGAAAAACTTGAGATATAATTAAAAATAAAAATTAGTTATAAATTAATTAATATTTACCCGTAGACAAAACAAAATGGAGAGAGGTGATGTTATTATCAAAAAGATTATTGAAAGTGCCATTATAGTCTTTTTCAGGCAAGAGCTAGTCATGTTGGTATCGTGTTCTACAACATTCCGTTTCAATTTAAACGGTTTAAGTAGATGTAAAATTTAACTGAGTTTCCGGATCTAAAAAGTTCGCGTTTTCGACAATATTAAAAAGCACTTTGCTTTTTTGATAACTCGTTTAAATGTCAATGATTCAAAACAAATTATATGTCAAAAAAAAAAAATAAAAGTATAGAACAGAAGTTTCACTTACATGTACGAATTTCTACAGACACGCCAGTATACAAATTAAACTATAACATTGAATTTAATATTTTGTGGAGTTGTTTTATAAATAATTTACTACTAAGGAAAGTAGGCATTGAATAGTGGAAGTAGATATTCTGTTGAGTCGATCCTCAAGGGAGGGGGAAAGATAATCAAGAAAAAAGGGTGGACACTTTCATTGTTAATCTCAATCTCATTAGCGCTAATCTTCACTTCAATTACAAAGAACAATAACTGTATATTTTTGAAGTGAAACTTCTTTACGCACGGTAGGGTAAGTTCGTTTCATGCGAGTTGCTATGTAACGAAATCATGCAACGCATTTCCCCCGCTGTCTGTGTGTGCTTAGATCTTTAAAACTACGCAACGGATTTTANATAAATTAGTACACAATTATTTATATAACATTGCAAACACTCTAATCCTAATAAAACAGAATATGAAATACACAAATAACCAACTAATTAATTGGAAGTTAGGTCAGTAGCAATTTAGATAAACATCCCATAAAAATTCTGATAACAGTTTCTATAGAATATTTAGTAACTTTGGTCATTGAACAATTACAAGGCACTGAATTTTAACAATTTGCATAACATTTTCCTGTGATAAATTAGTACACAATTATTTATATAACATTGCAAACACTCTAATCCTAATAAAACAGAATATGAAATACACAAATAACCAACTAATTAATTGGAAGTCAAAAATTCTTAAGGTTCAGGATTACTGTTTGAGTTTTCTGCTTCATTTACTCCATATGCCTGTTTTATGGTTTCCAAGTGGCGCTTTTCATGATTCTTCATATGATCTGCTCTTGAAAAGGTCTTTTTACATATGGTACAACTGAAATCTCTCTCCTTACTGTGTGTTTTTAAGTGTCTCTTCCAATTCATTGTGATTGTTATTTCTCTAAAGCAAATGGGGCATTTTTTTCTGTCAGAATTCTGGTACACTTCGTCATATTTGGCTAATTTATCAGGTCCTAGCAGTATTCTGCCAATCTGATGTTTCACAATCTTATGTTCAATAAATTCTTCTTCCGTTTTAAATAACTGGTTACAATACGGAAAGGGACAAACTTTAGGTTGCATAACGGAAGAAAACTCAAGAAGGGGGAAGTTTACTGCTTTTGAAGTTATTGAAACTTCTGCAATGTCTTGTTCCAATTCTTTCAAGTTTGGAACTACTTTTGAGGCGTTTTCCCTAGGACGCCTTTGACGTTTTCTCACAGGAGAGCCGTCTTTTCTAATGGATCGCTTTTTGTACTTTCTCTTCTTTGTTGATTGCTGCAAACCAAATATTTCGTCTTCGGTTTCGTCAAAATCATAAACAGATGCGTTAACGGGAGGATTATTCTGTTTTGCTTTTTCTCTTTCCATCATTTCCTTCTTGTGGCGTTCAAGTATTCCACTCGCTGTTATTTTAGGGGTCTCAGATTCAGACTCTTGTTGGAAGGGTTGCATTGGGATTTGTTGTTGTGACTTTGGTTTTTGATTAGCCAAGTTACCAAAACTACGAAGACTACCGCTACTTCGTAAATTCAACGAACTGCAGCTAGCAACTTGATCAGTTTGCATTAAAACCTTCTTACCATTATGAATTTTATCAAAATATTTCGTATCGCGTGAAGTACTTGGAAGAGAAATATTGTTAATATCCTGCTGTTGCAAAGATGATCCTACGTTGTTAGTATCCTTATTTTCTTTTAGTGAATTAAACAGCCTGTCAACCTCTTCTTTAGAAAGTCGATTTATTTGACTGGCTGTTTTTATTATTATTATAGGTCTTTTTGGAGGAGTGGGTTTGATTTTCTTCTCGACCTGCTGAATAGATTTTGTGGGTTTGGCTGTTGCTCCTTGATTATCTGGTGTACTTCTTTGCGAGGAATTATTAGATGGTTGGGCTTGTAAGTTTCCAGTAACTTTCTTAGACAAATTAGAAATCCTAGATTTTATTGGTCTTGCCTTCAAATATTTTGATTTTCTGGTTATCGATTTTTCTCTTACTTTACTTGAAATTATATCTTTAGTTTTAACAGTCAACAGCTTGCGTTTTCTTATTTGTTTTGGTCTGGCGTTTATTTTTAATTTCTGCTGTGTCCTTCTCAAGCGTCTTGATTTTAAAACTCCCAATCCAGAATTACATGTGGCACTGTTTCTCTTAACAGTTTTGAAAAATTTCTTTGGAGTCACATTCTTCCCTCTTTCCTCATTTATTATTGTTGATTCGCCAAAAGACACCCTCTTAACTATAGGAACAGATTTCTTTTCCTTTTTGATATCAGAGACCTTTTCTTGAAACTGTACTTGTTGAGCTTTTTTCTGTTTTGACTTGTTAAGTTCCTTTCTGAACTTTAAACGATTTGAGCTGCTTCTCACAAGTTTTAATTTTTGCAACTTTTGGCTCACCTTTGTTGATACACTTGGATTGTTCTTTTTATTATTTGTTTTTGCTCTGGTAGACAATGCAACTGGAGACGCATTTTCAGCATTATTTTCAACCCCTTTATTGGTAATTTTATCTTTTGTACGTACAATTTTTTCAATGCTATTATCAACCGAAGCCTGTAGTTGAACCTCTTTTGTACCATCTTTGTTAATGTTATAATTTGTTTTTGACCTTAAATTAATGGTTGGTTTATCATCTATAACTTTTGATGTTTTTTGTAAACCTGATGTAGATGGTGAACTATTTTCATAATCAATCTCTTTTTGTGATATGTTTTCAAAATTTTCAATTAACTTACTGGCAAATTCTTTTTCGATTTCTTTGTGAGATTTTTCTTTATTTTGATCTGTTAATACCACGTTATCATTATTATCTGAATTAGTTGAAGATGGTGTAATAGTATTTTTATAATCTAGAGAGTCAGTTTGTGTTTCTTCTATTGGAGAATTCAAACTTAAAGTGTCTAATGAACTTGTGACCTTCTGAATAGAGGGAGATTCAAGATTAGATTCCAATATTCTTCTGCGTAATTTGTCATTTTCTTCTGTATTTATATTCTCCTTTACAGATTCTTCAGATTTTACATCAGCAGTAGATGGGTCATTTCTTGGAAATCTTTCAACCACATGTTTATTACTCCGTTTTTTGTTTAATTTGTCATAATTTAGTTTAGTTTGATTTTTAATTCTTCTCAGTGCTCCACGAGTCAACCTTCTGACTTTAATTTTTGTTTTGTCTTGTATAACTTTCCTCGAATGTCTCAACTGAATTGATTGGAAAAAATAAGATGGTATATCAGAAGGTCTGCTAAATTGTCTTATCAAAGATGTTCTATGTCTAACTTTCTTGGATTTCTCAAGTACTTGTGGAATATGTATTTTAAAAGGTTTTTTTGAAAATTCTTTTTTAGTATGCTTAATTAATTGTTTATTAAGCTTTTCCTCACCAACACTGGTAGATTGCTTACGCATTTCAGTACTTCTACTCCCTGCATTTGATGAACCAGACGACTGAGATTCATCTACATTTGTATCTGACTTATTTTCAGTTCCTTGATCGCATTCATTAAGTTCATCTTCAGAATAGGTTTGTACAATAAAATGTTCTGAAGCCTTATTGTTACAAATCAGATTACAATTCATATCATCTTTGGTTTTGAATCTCAGCAGTGTCAATTTCTTTTTTGGTCTGCTCTGTGTATTATTGACTTTTTCATCACTGATGTTCTCAGTTACACTGCCAGAAAATTCTTCCTCATCTTCATCATATTCAAAGTCAGTAGTTTCATTTTCATCTTTCTCTTTTGTTTCCTCTAAATCAGGTTTTGTAACAGCTGCTGCATCACCTTTAGATTTAGCAATCCTTCTTTTATCATTCTTGAACAGGCAAATATCCATGTGGGTCACCTGACGCTTCTTAAAGGCAAATGCTCTACAACAAAAATGGCATGGAAAGAATTTTCTGCCATCACTAGAAAACACCACTTCTGGCACATTTCTGGTATTGATAGCAAGTGATAAATTCACTGATTTTTTAACATTTCCATCTTTATTCTTATCACTTTCAGAAGATGATGTTGGTTCGTTGTTGGAATCACCTTTTTTTGAGGCACCTTTCAGATGCCATTTTATTGCTGCTTTTGCAATTTCTTTATCGTGTTCTTTTTCACTATACTTAATATTGCTGGGTCTTTTGCGTAAAAGAGGCATTTTCCTAAAAAATATTGAAGATAAACATAACCATCATCTGAAAATAACACACTCAGCTTACCTTTACCAACTGTATTACACAATACAATTACTGATAAACCTGATTGATAATGAAAAATATAAATTTGTGTTAACGGAGCATTTTCATAAATTAAAAAAACTGAAAGACCAACGAAAATTAAACAACAGAAAACACCATCAAAACTTCAGAACCACAAAAACAAACTGGTTCACGAAAACGATAAGGACAGCAAATATTAATCAAATGTACATGGTGTATTTAAATTATAGCATGATTCTTTCTGTATATTAAAAGATTATCGTATTATTCATTGAAAATTGCTGTGTCAAACTATTTAATAAAATTGTGCATTACAATCGGGGATTCCCTAGGTATTTTGAAAAATATAAACATTGAATACTGGAAGGTGATATTGTATGTTTCTTATAAATACTCCTCGTATATAAGATAAGTAAAGCTACAGCTCGACACTGTACATAAGTGTGCTTATGTTTTTATTTGTGTTTAACGTGAGTACTTTTTATTAAAAAGGCGTAAATTCATGATACATCAATTTTTAAATTACAATCTCTTATTTAAAAACATTCACTTTAATAGTACCTCCTAATTTTATTCAAAAATAACCATAAATCAATTAATTAACTTAAAATAGTTAATGAGTATGGTCCTCCTTAATTACAGTGAGTACAGGTATGTCCGTTAACATCACACTCTCTCTTCGTTTTCTTTACAAAATAGACAAATAGTTTAACGTAATAAATTTTTTGCTTTAATTTTGAATAGAAAAGTAGAGCAGACTAACCAGTTTTTTGATTTGTTCCATTATCAGTGTAGAAAAAGATTAAAAATACAATTAAGTACAATCCATATAGTGCAGATGCATGTAAATTCATGTTGGAAAGGGACTGTTCATAAATTATATAACGCAAATTGGGGGGGAGGGGGTTCAACATGGTTGAGGTCCTATGTTGGAAGGGCGGGAGTCAAAAATTAATTAATTTTACATTAAGTACCCATCTACTGCTTTATTTATGGACAACCCCATAGGGCTCCGTAGGTACTAGTGTACAGGATGTCGATAAGTAGTTTCCAATCTTTGATTCATTAGAAAAGTAATTGCTTATCTGTATGCATATTGTATAGTATTTTTTTTTTACCACGGAATGGCTCACAAAATGTCATTCGAGTGGAAATAACGACATTTGTTTGTCAAAATGAAGCTTGTTTATAGTTAATCCTTTGCTTTTTCATAATTTTTTTTCCTTTCGCGTGCATGCTAACAAGATGAAACGTATTTATTAGGTGGTGTAGGTGTCACTATTTTTTTGAATTTTATGGGTTCTCGAGATCGTTTAACGTGTTATAGTTCGGGAGATTGGAAGAAACAGAATGATTCTGCAGTAGTTGCATCCGGTTGTTTACTATCAAATCATAATCGCCAAAGACAAAAGAAAAGGATTACAATCCGTTCGAATAAATCGCGAAAATGTCAACCGAGATACAGGCAGAGGAAAGATTGCTATTGCACAAGTCGCCCTGTACCTACACGAATAAATTTCAACGTTAACAAAGCTCAGCATTATCACACCTCTGATAATTGCCCATTTCCTGACCAAGACGAAGACGAAGACGAATCCTTCATGTTTCAACCAATAGAAAAGATTTCTTTATACAACACCACCATGTTACAAAAAGCCAGGGAACTGTTAGATTACGAACCTTCAACGTTGTTCTTGCGGAAACTTAAAGCTGAAGCATGTAAAGCAGTTCTACGTGAAACAGAGGATACCCAAAGGGATTGTTCCAAATACACCAGAGCTAGACAGGCGTACGAACAGTACGTGGATTTGAGAAACAAAGACGAAAGTCTTGTGCAGCCCTGTATGTGTAAATATCCGCAGCAAAATGACGGCAGTGATACCGATTCGAAAAAGAATGATGCTAATATCCAAACCTTATGTGCAGAAGTGGAAAGGAAGTGTGCTGCAACCGAGACCAACAATCGGTGCTGTCCGAAATGTTGCAAATGTCAAAAAGACAAAAGCACTTCTGCGGATTTTTGTAGAATTGAAGAACCAAAACCTGCGGATATCTGTAGAATGGAAGAACCAAAACCTGCGGATATCTGTAGAATGGAAGAACCAAAACCTGCGGATATCTGTAGAATGGAAGAACCAAAACCTGCCGATTGCGATAGAATTGAAGAACCAAAACAGCAGGAAGATAAGCCAAAACCGAAGGAAGATAAGCCAAAACCGAAGGAAGATAAGCCAAAACCGAAGGAAGATAAGCCAAAACCACAAAAAGAAAAACCAAAATCGCGGAAAGATAAAACCAAACCCGAGTCTCCCGTAGAAAAGGAGAAACCAAAACAAATTTCCAAACCGCAAGCGACGGTTAAAAAACCGAAACCTCCGAAGTCTGAAAAGAAGAATCCGGTTACAAATAAATGCGAAAACTTTGGCTTCAGCTCGCTGCCGCTTAGTCCAGAAATTCGCGATCAGCAACGTTTAAAGAAACAACCACAGTGCGAAGACGATATTGACGAATGGTCGCGTTACTGTTGCAGTTGCCCACACGGATATCAAAACGTGAAGGACTTGCAAATATTTAGAAACGACTGCTTCTTCGAAACACATTCCGTTAATGACTTTATAACAAACATGCCCAAGCACGATTGTGTTCATTTAATAAATTTCGATGAGAAATCTGAACCACACTATATCAACGCCGATCCGTATGGCTACAGCAGATGTTACATTTGCAATAGAGCTATGACCACAGTGCGAAATCAAGCTGCCAAAAAACCCGTTAAGGAGAACGTCGATACTTACAGGCAATCAAAATTATCAAACTTAAGTATGACCAAAAATGCACCCATAATCATCGAACCAACGAAAATACAGATTTCGAACAAAAGCCAAAAAGTTCTGGCAAAATTACCACCGTACTGTGAGGAAGCGGGGAATTTTATAAAAACGAAATATCGACGTCCCGTGCCCACGAACACTTTTGCACTGAGATTTCAAAAAGGAGTGTACAATAATTGATTTTGTAATAAATTATAAATTAAAAACATGATGGACCGTGCAAGAATCACTCCTTTTAAAAATATCTACTTCTTGAGGAGGCACTTCAAAAGAAACAGTTCTCATATCGACAATATAAACGTCATCAGTGCAGGGCAAAACAAAACATATTCCCGCATTTAAAGGGGTTTCAGACTTTAACTGACCTAAACGTAATATAATTGCTTTTTGATATGCGTGAACAACCTAAAAATACAGAAAAACTTGAGATATAATTAAAAATAAAAATTAGTTATAAATTAATTAATATTTACCCGTAGACAAAACAAAATGGAGAGAGGTGATGTTATTATCAAAAAGATTATTGAAAGTGCCATTATAGTCTTTTTCAGGCAAGAGCTAGTCATGTTGGTATCGTGTTCTACAACATTCCGTTTCAATTTAAACGGTTTAAGTAGATGTAAAATTTAACTGAGTTTCCGGATCTAAAAAGTTCGCGTTTTCGACAATATTAAAAAGCACTTTGCTTTTTTGATAACTCGTTTAAATGTCAATGATTCAAAACAAATTATATGTCAAAAAAAAAAAATAAAAGTATAGAACAGAAGTTTCACTTACATGTACGAATTTCTACAGACACGCCAGTATACAAATTAAACTATAACATTGAATTTAATATTTTGTGGAGTTGTTTTATAAATAATTTACTACTAAGGAAAGTAGGCATTGAATAGTGGAAGTAGATATTCTGTTGAGTCGATCCTCAAGGGAGGGGGAAAGATAATCAAGAAAAAAGGGTGGACACTTTCATTGTTAATCTCAATCTCATTAGCGCTAATCTTCACTTCAATTACAAAGAACAATAACTGTATATTTTTGAAGTGAAACTTCTTTACGCACGGTAGGGTAAGTTCGTTTCATGCGAGTTGCTATGTAACGAAATCATGCAACGCATTTCCCCCGCTGTCTGTGTGTGCTTAGATCTTTAAAACTACGCAACGGATTTTAATGCGGTTTTTTT